TTCTGTACTCTTCCCTTAGATTAGAGTTGGCGCTTTTTTCAATCGTTTTGTTTTTTTTGTCTTATTCGATGCTACAAAAGGACAGATGGATGCTGTCTTCTGCCACCGATGCTGGGTAAGGCAAAGCATGGTTGTTAGCTTCACTCTTAATGATAACGACATCGCCGCAGCAACGGTGGCAGCAGCATCGTTCTTTTGCCTTGCTACTGTATCATTTGTGTCAGAATTTCGTTTGGCTGTATTGTACACAAAACTCTACCGCTTCTTTTGTACGTTTGCGTGGGCAACTGCGTCATTAGTGGTCTAGTCTCTGTAGACATTTAACGTAATCGCACATTTTGTCGCATTGTTTATAAGCCACTCCTGCCTGATAGAAGAAAGACACCAACCACACCATACCAATGCCAAAGCCAAAGCACAGCAGCACTTCAAAATGCCGTATCGCGCTCACCACTCATAACATTAATTAACGGTGAAGAAAAAAAGCTGTGGTGCCCTTAGGAGAATTTAGTTATTGCCAACAATAAAAATATATTTTTAAAGAAAAAAAGGAAATCATATTTCCCAATATAAACGAGAGCAAATTAAACGAAGTGAGTGTAACATTTACTCGAGAGAAATTAAGTTTAATTAGAAGCAAATATTCTGTATGTGTTTCGGTTATGTGTACAAGAATTTCCTAAATATTTGTGAAAAGAAAACATTCACACACCACCTCAAGGCAGCCGGGAAAAAGAAAAAAAAAATGAACAAAAACTTTGCGTAAAGTATTCGCAAGTGTGTGTGTGTTTGTGAGTTTGGTGTTTTCGTTTGTTAAGAAAAGAAAAAAAAATCCAAATAACTTGACAATAATTAATGATGCCCAAAGATTTGTTCAAGCTTTTTTGACATTTTCTGTGATATTCTGAATTTGATTGATTAATTCCAAAATATAAAGAAAGTTTAAACCATCTTCAATTTACATAAAATACATTAAAGTAATGAATGCTTGAATAAGGAAAATATCTGGCAATGAAAATCAAACATTTAAATCATGCTGCTTTGGAATAACAAAATGTGAATGTCAATGAAAATAAAAATCAATTGAAATTGGTATTATTTTCATGTGAAATTTTGTGAATATTAACTCTTTGATGAATATTGAATTTATTGTCGTTCTTCTAAGTGTTTAGCAAACATTTTTCGCAGGATTATACATACGAAATTATAAAATGGTTGAATTTATTATTTGTGGTTTTTTTTCTGTATTCGTAGTAAAAATTTTCAGACCCTTTCAAACAAAAAAATGCTGATCTATTCTATATTCTATAAATCTATTTATTAACTAAAATGGTTTAGATTTATTTAGATATTCTTGAGGGGAAACGCTTCTCTACAAAATATTTCTCTCCGAAAAAATTGAGAAAATGTCTCTTTTGCGAAATTGAAATCTTAAACCGCTTGTAACACTTTTTTTCCAGTGGTAGCAAACATTTATTTAGAAGCATTTACTTAAAATTCACTTTGACGAGGAATATTCATTTTCTTGAGGATTAATATTCTGGGAACCTCTGAAGGTTGGTTAATATCAAAACATGTATAGCAAACACTTAAGCCACTTAAAGACCTATTGTTCTCTCTAAGTGAAGTCCTTCAGGCTTTTCCATTCCTACCCCTAAGGTCGTTTGGTTAGTGAACAGTATTATCTTCTATGAATTGCATCCGAAGGCATTCAAAAGCTTGGTAGGGGCATAGGAATTGTTCCAACGTTTCGCTGCCTTTCCCATACGCTGTAAATGATTCCAGATTAGCCAACTGCTTAGTCTTATATTCATTTGGATCACCCCTGCTTATTATATTTTATCTAAGGAAAACAAAATTTTAATGTAATAAAAAAAATACCTTCCCGTAAGACAAAAATTGCTAATTATATAAATATTTTAGTTCGAAGACTTTTGTTGTATTTGTATACCAGAAAATATTTGAAAAAAAGTATTGTAAATGTTTGAAAATAGTTTTCTTAGCACCTTCTAAATTCCCAGAAATATTTTAGTTGAATAATTTTATATCCTAAAATATTTTTAATATTTTAGAATTTTCTTTCTGATTCGAAAATATTTCTCAAGAGAAGTTTCTTTTTTCATTTATAAGAACTTTTCTCAGGATTAGCAAATCTCAGTGCAATCTGCAATCTCTAGTCTGAATATTTTTTTCCTTTTCTAACTAAGCAGTAGATTGCATCACTGTATATCCTAGCAATTATTTATTAGGAATCTTAAAAGATGCAAATATTTTCTCCAGAAAATTTCTCCGAAGGTATCAAAATTCTTCTATGGGAAAAATGTCCATGAAAATTGTTGATGGTATTGATGGTATTAATGTTGATGGTATTGAGGACACCTATACGTATGAGTATCAAAAAATATGTGGAACTAGTTATAACGATCATACGCCCTATAGCATTTGACGTTCCTAAGGGATATTTTTTATACGCCGCATAGTCAGGGTTGCCTTTTAACAATTTAAACCCGCATTTAACCAACTTCATTTCATGAGTAACTCCTCAGGTATATCACTGCAATTGCCATTAACAGGATATTTCGCAAATACCAAATATTTACCTTTTTTGACAAAAGTTCATACAGTTATTTTTTGATAAAGAACATCCTCCGATCCTCGTATAAATCTTTTCGTTAATTTAGTCAAACATTATTATCAATTTAGATCTTTCTTGGCAATATTTTTATATATTTAATGTTCCAGACATGACACAAGAAATTCTTCTTCTTTTGAATGATTCCCACAGCCAAATTCACATAACAAACACTTATTCAGGACATCTATTCGTATGACTATCAAAACTGTGTGAAACTATTTATATCCATCATAGGCCCCTAAGACCTTTGGCTTTCTTAAGGGACTTTTTTCCTCAACACAGACCAAATTTATCTATAAGTTCAATACAGCGGACGTGTTCAAATGAAACTAATTTAAACACAAATTTATAAAAGATAAAATTATTTATTTATGTTCAGAGTGTTAGATTTAAAAATATCGAATAAGTTGGGTATGAATATTAAAATAAATTCCGAAAAAAATCATCCTTAAAATTGCAAATAAATGCTTTTATTTTTTATAAGAAGCCGGTGGGATTTTATATTGAACTATTTTCATTTTTCTTATTCGAATCTTTCAACGAAGAAAACAATTAACCCTTAATTCAAAAATCTTCTCATACCTATTAACACATTCCCAAGACATCCATATGTATGATTGTTAAAAAATATGTATCTCTAAACATGTACAACAATCACACGCACCATACACCCGTTTGTCCTTGAGTTAATAATAAACAATGAATAGTTTTCCATGCCATTTTTATGTCTTTCTCTCTCATAAAACAACTGTAAAAGTCAGTCAGCACAGTTTCATGATTTTCCACCCAACCAACCAACCAACCAACTCACCAACCATGTCAACCATTAAAAAGTTCATTAACAATTCTTGTCTTACAATTTTCCAAAAAGTTTTCTTATCATCATAAATCTGTATTTTTCGAAATACAAACTGATTGCCAGGACATGCCGATGTTGCCGCTGCTGCTGTCGTTGCTGCTACACACTACAACTACTGTTGTTGGTTCTTTGTTTTCTTTGTTCGAATTCTTAGGCAAAATGTGTAGGAAAATGTAAAACAATCTTTGCTCGTAACTTGTAACTATGATTAATCCCCTCATTGCTGGATGAGTTAGGTCAAGGCTACAGATTCCATTTTTCTTGTACAGCAGCAAGCCATAAATAAGAAACAAAAACCAACAAAACAGGAAAATGGCATTAATGGCGAAGGGTGGGGGAAGGAAATACCGCCACCATTTGCGACAACGACAATTACTACAACTGCTCAGAATATTACTCAATTAATGAAGGACATTGAAGTGAATAGTCTTGCCCCGCGATAAATCAAATGTGTAGCATATAGCCAAACGAAAATTAAATTCAATACACACTCATATACTCTAGCAAATAAATGATTTCTGAGTAAATTAAAAGAACATTAAGTTTATTGAATAAAAATATGCCACCTTGAAAGAATAAAATCCATCTTTGACTATTTTTGTTTTTGCTTTTTTGTAATGAAAGGAACAAAAATATGTACAATTTCCAACCTAGTTTTTCACTTGATACACCAAATCAAAAGACTTATGTTGCTCGCTGCCCGGCACAATAGCGCCCAGTAGAAAGAAAAACTTACAAACACACACACACAGACTCAAGGTGAACTATATATCTGTTTCTTAAAGGAAATGAAAAAGAAACACAAAAAGCCATATTGGCAAACTCTGTGCGTGTATGTGTTTAACGAGTGCGTGTATATATGCTTGTGATTGTAATGTGAAAACACATTAATGGATACTCTCCGAAGACAAGAAGAATACGCAAAGCAAGCAAACAAACACCAACTATACATAAAACCTAAACAAAAATATTATCAAGTCCCCTCCACTTGAATATTCGCCAATCTCTTCAAACGAACGAACGAACGACGAATCATCGAGAGATAACATCCAAAAACGACCACCACGAAGAAGAAGAAAAAAACATAACTAATACAACAAATCCTAAAAGCCTGAGAAAAGGGAAATCAACGCAAAGAGTTATGCGGAATTTCTTTGTCACCATCAAAGGTCTAAGCTAGGCAATGTTGACGGAAATAAGCCCGCCAGCTTAAGGGGTTAAAGCCACAATAATAAACCAAAAAAAAAAAAACATAAACACACAAACAAACAAGCATAATAATAAGAATAATAAGAAGAAGGAGAAATTCTTTGATAATACCTAAAGCTCAATCTAGAAATTCATACACACACACACAAAAAGCAATATTTTATGACCCAATTTATCAATTTAAATAATATTAATAATTAAAAACAAAATTAATACAAAAAATTCACAAAACAACAAAATCCTAATAACAACAACTGCAAAAACGAAAGAAAATATAACAACAAGCAAATTAATAATTAATATCAAAACAAAAATGCCTTTCGGTCGCAAATCGCCATTTGAGGCATTGGCCTTACCAGGCGTCATCTTAGCCTATAAATATAGTCAATTTCGTCAGAGACGCCGAGAAGCTGCTAGTCGCCGTGTCACAGAACGGGAGCTGTCAGCGTTACATCATAAAATCGTAAGTAGAATATGGTTTTCCTATTTTGTGTATTTTAAGATAAATAATTCTAGAAAATTTAATAAATTTGTAATATCAATTTTAAAATTATGTATACGCATCAAAGTACCACAGGAATAAATAAATGGAAGAATTTATTATTTAAAATTCTTTGCAAAAAATAGGGGGAAAACACCACTATATTTTGCATGTCTCTTGCCATTCTTTATAAATAAGAGATGCGAATTCGAATTTTAACTACATGCATTAGTCGAAATCTTTATTTAATTTCGTTTTAATGTTTTTCAAGCATTTAGTACAACACATACGTATGAGTATTAAAATTGTGTATATGATATTATAACAATCATACGCCCTCCATATGCTATAATGAAATTTAAAGAGTTTAGACGATCATCTGCACTAATTTAAAATGTTACTGATAGATTTAAAGTTATACTAATAACTACAAACAATTCTGTAAATAAAATGTATACCCTTCTCGAGTGTTGTTTTTAAATTCTTTGGCTTTCATTTTCAGAGAAAATTGTTAGCAACCGCGGAAAATTGTTTAACATGAGGTAAACCTGAAAGTATGTTTTATAATGACTAATTAAACAATTATTTAAGTCTTAATATGTTTTACAAGCAAATGTAGGGCCGTAAACCTGAGTGTATTTTTTATAATGCCTAGAAAAGTATAAGAACCCTAAACCGACAAGGTGTAGACAAGCCTTCACATGTCTTTAAGATATCACTGGGATAAATATATTTTCCGAAACTTTTTTAATATGAGAGAAGTCCCTATGTTTCTCCAGCGCAATCCATGAAATAATTATTTAGTTCTTAATATGGATTTTAAGCATTTAACACCAATGTAGGGCCTATATAAATACTTTATTACTTGCAAGCTGGCCGATTTTCTTTTGCATAATCCATAGAGGATTATCTTCAATATAATAATTGTACATCAGGATTTTCGCTCTCTTTAATACTGCCATTTTGGGACATGGAATAATGACTTCTATTTTTACTCTTTCAATGATCTGTAAATATGCATTGACAATTGAGAGGGTTTCGACCAAGTTTTTAAAAAAAGAACATTGGAAGTACATTTAAATAAATTTTACAGATAATACTTAAGAGAACAACCACTGGCAACCTTGCCTAATATGTTACAACAACAAGTATACGCCACCTAGTCAGGGATGTATTTAAACAATTTAAACCCGCATTTATGACACTTTATTTCATAAGAAAAGACTGGAGCTTTGTTCTTACATTTTTGGCTTGCATTTGCACTGAATATTATTAGCAAACGAGCAAAATTTTACCAACATTAGGAAACCCCGATTATTTTTTATAATGGCTAAAAAATGTGCAAGATTTGGTGATATATATATATATATAATATGAAAGAAGTACCTATGTTTCTCCAGCACTATCCACGAAATAATTATTTAGGTCTACATATGTACATCGAACGTTTGGCACCAATGTAGGGCCATATATGCTTCTTGACCATTACAATACTGCTATGAATCTTCTTAAATACTTCATTACTCGCTAGCTCCCCAATTTTCATGGCGAATATGTTACGACAACAAGTATACGTCACATTGCCAGGGTTGCCTTTAAACAATTTAAACCCGCATTTAACCTACTTTATATTATAAAAAAACTCTTCAGGTATATCACTGCAACTGCCTATTGCAGGATATTTCGCAAATACCCAATGATTCCCTTTTCTCCGTTTTTTCTTTATCAAGAGTTCATGCTGTTCCTTTTTTTGGAACTGAACAACCACAGATACTCGTATGTATCTTTTTGTTAATTGAATCAAATATTATTATCAATTTAGCTCTTTGTTGGCAATATTGTTAAATATTTAAATTTCATTAATGTGCCAGGCATGACAAAAGAAATTCCTCAAACGTGAAGCGTTTCGGATGAGGCTTACAGCCACATTCACATAACAAGCAAGAACAACACAGTGGTTTGGAAATAAATATTTTCTCTAAATATTTAAATTTCGTCATCGATGTGCTGACATGGGTTTATGTCTTCATAGTTATTAAGCAGTTTTTAAGTAATATTCGATTTTAAAATCGACACATTATGCTGGTAACTCATTATGGTCATTTTTAATAATTTCAAATATTTACTTAATTCAAAATATTTTACTTTTTAAAACTATTTTCCAATTTTATACCACTGTGCACCCGCATATACTGTTGGTTGCTGTATGAACCTTTCAAAAAATTAAATTTTCTTTACGATTATTCATCCACTTTCACTGAAACAAACACAGACACATATGTGCATACAAATCGACAAACCCACTACCCTAAGAACTTAGACATTTATTGACCTTTGTCTTACAAAAGTTGCCTGACATGAACTGACGACAGCCGAGCACTGGAACATCTTAACCACTTCAACAAAACACTACACAACTATCATATATGTAGATGGTGGTTATGTGTGCGGATGAGTGTGTGTGTTTAAGTGGTTGGTGTATGTGTGCAACTAACAATTATGTTACCTGTAAACAAGCCTTCTCACTTATACTGGTCCTTGCTGTTATCAAAATCCAAACAGCCAGCCTAGCCCAGCTAGCCAGTCATCCAGCATCACCATCAACGTCATCTTCAAACCATACAAGTCCATGTAGGGCGTTTGTTCTTTGCCTTTATTGTCGGCTCTTTGGGTGGCCTTTTTATGTGTGTGTGAACCGAGAAGCAAACTGAAAAAAGGACATCTTCGTAACTATGCCCGCCTTTGTCACTTTTCATCCTGATGATAGTAAATATTGTGTGTTTTTGTTGTTGTTCGTGCTGTTCAATGCCTTTGTTTTAGAGGATGTTGTTGTTGCTGCTGTTGTCGTTGTTGTTGTTTGTTCTTGCCGTTTTGTAGATTAAATGATGCTTATCTGTTTTATTTATGGTTTTATCGTTGTTTGTAGGTGGTAATGATAATGGCCTGGTCTGAATGCATGTCGTGTGGCCATGCTAGACGAACGGGATGTCAATGTCGATGTAGGGGCATAACCTTTTGGCGACCAAGGTACACCCAAGAAGAGAAGAAAAAAAATCAATTTATTTGTATGTCGACAGTTTTAAATTGAATTGTTTATCATTGCATATCGGGGCAACTACTAAGTTGGTTTCTCAGTTGTTGTCGAACAAAATCAGTGGTGCGAAAAGGAAATGAAATTTGGCGGAATGGGTAGGAAATCATTTTTACATTTAGTTGCAAAACAAAAAGGTTCACAAAAACCAGATATGGTTATAAAGCCATAAAATAATAATAAATGCAAAGATACGGAATTTTTGTGATATTTGAAAATGCTTTAGAATAATTTATGTAAACATAAATTCATATTTTTCGTTGAGTTGGCATAAATTGTAGATTTTCTTTAGTACGAGTTAGCAACCACAGCCACAATTATGTTGATTTTATTTTGGATGTTGTCCAAGAAATTTCATTCTTTCTAAGAAAATGTTTAATTTATAATATATAAATATTTGACTTACAAAAACAGTTTTTTCTAAAGACAAAGGACATTTTTTGTGTTTGTAGGTTCCATTCAGGCGTATACGTTTGCACGTTACGTATACGTGCATGCTCGGTCTGTTATATAAATCAATAAATAAAGTAATAGTAAATAAAGTTAAAACATAAATTCAATCGAAATTGTTTAATATATTTTAATCAAGTTATCGAGCATCCTTTTGAAATTGTTAATATGGAATTTATGTAGAATTGGGGATATTGTTTGGGAAATTATTTACTGTATAGGTATGGACTAAGGCAAAAAATTTATATAAAATATATTTAAAATAATAAAATTTTTTTAAATGGCTATCCTCACTTATACTCCTAAAATACACTCCCAGTATAATTCTTATTTTTTGATTAACCGCAGAATTTTACATTAATTTTTCCTAATCGGGCATCCAGTGTTAACACCAGTTATAAACTTAGAAAAAAATAACATTTTTTTAATAATATATTAATTATGTTGTTATTTAATAATAAGAATCTTGAAAGTAAAAATAGAACCAAATGTTTTGCTTTTCACAAATGGCAATACTTTAAATATAAAGCAGGGGGTCCGAGCACCAATATAGGGCTCTAATACTTCTACCGAGTATCGGAATCTTCTTGTGGATCCCAATCCTGGATAGCTTTTTGTTGTAGACCATCAATACTTAAATGAAAATTTCAAACCAGACATGCAAAAAGAAAATTAAATAGTATTGCGTATTTTTTAATTAATAATATTAATGTTGGTCCCTTGACATTTACTAAAGTAATGTATCCTTCATTCTATCCACTATTAAAATTTATTACAGGGACGTTCTGAATGGAGTCTTTTGATTTTTGTGGTATCGGACAGATATCGCGTTTACAATTTACAAGTGTTCAAAGATAACATAAAAACATACTTTTTATTTTTTAATACATTTCCTTAAATAAGTCATGGTTTTCCGAAATAATTGTCGGAAATGTCAAACCTACGGACCATAGTACGTATATGTATTGACAACAATAATACGCCCTTGTTTCTTTCCACGATAATACCCAAATAATTTGTATTATTTATTTTGCATACAATCTCAAATCTCTTTCCAATCAAATCTCATAAAACAACCTCAGAGTAATAAACTAAAGTAAACTCCAAAAAATATAACTCCCAACGAGTTAAGTAACAACAACACAATCAAATATTTCTCTATATTTCGCTACCACTGGATTATTTTCTTTGTTCAAATTTACGATTTTCAAAACAAAAATCTTCATATTTATGTTACTGACACCGATTTAATGTTTGACTTTATTGCAACATTATTTTATTTTCCCTTTCCCCAAGCCATTTTCATGGCAAAATCCAAAAATCAGATGTGTGCCATAAAAATGTTAAACTAAACGCATCCAAATGAAAATGGCAACAACTAAAAAAAAAAACAAAAATCCCTGTTGAATGTTTTTTTTTTCCTTTCGAAATATTTAGACCT